TGCTCAACAGTACCTAGAGAGTCACAGTTTACCCATTCCTGATCTGCAGGATCTTTCCATATCCTGAGTATTGCCTGAGAAAAAAATTGGATATACTTGCAACTTGTCTGGCACCTCCCAATTTCAGGCCCTGTTTCCAGTTGGATGACATGATGATGCCCAGAGAACACCAATCTTCCCCCTTGTAGCTGCCCTCAACTCTGTCCTATGAATGAAATGCCTTTATCTGTCAGCATACAGGTTTCAAAATGGCATTTTCCTCCTTAAGCCAATGCTAACTAGGTCCCAGCCATAAAGCACTTTCTTCTTGTGGGACATAAGAGACACACTTTCTCAGTAGCATGCCCCCTGAGATCTGTATGCTCCAACCCTTCTCTTCAAATCCTGCTCCCACAACCCTGCTCTGCACCTGTGACCTATCAGCAGAGCTACTTCTGAACATAGATTTAGTATTTTTCTGAAGGAAGGGTGCATGGTGAACCAGAATTTCATTTTAATAAAAGCTTCAGATTCTGTAGATGGTTCTAGGAAAACCTGTGATGTTTGAAAGTGGTGACAGAACTAGCAACACACAGCTGGCAGAACCACGCTCTCTTTTCTGATTTAAATCCACCTTCTGTACAGCACAAGAGTTGTACTCTTTGAAGAGAGTCCAAATCCCTACTTTTAAACAGATGTCTAGCTCCTAGTGCTAAATCTGTGTGTAAAAATCAAAAGTAGCATTCTTTCAAAAGAGCATTACATTTGTGTTTATAAGGAACCCATGTAAAACAACCTGACAGATGCTTTGTAAAATGCTGGTCAGACACTGCAAGGGGAGACTCCTTTGTGGAAAGCCAGATGTTCTGTCTTTAGTGCAAAGTGGCCATGGAGGGAGGAGAGAGAGGAAGCATGCTCAGAACAGCTTAAAGTGACAAATAGGAACTGGGGCAAATCCCAATCTCTGACCATGTCAGCAACCACATGGTTGGTGAAGCATGTCAGATGCATCCAAGGCAAAAATTGTGTCAGGAAAAGAAAGAAAACAACTAAGGAGGACTTTAAAGCTGTCTCAGATACTGGCTGGGGATTAGTCAAAGGCAATGTCATGAGGCCAGGGAAGAAAAAATGTTACTGAGGCACGCTTGTTCTCCAATTAGGGGAGATGAGGAAGAACGGGTGGAGCTTGAATGCCTTATTAATTCAAAATTTGTTATCTGCCATAAAGAGACCAGCTATGCACTAAAACGCAGGATTACAGTTCTAGAGAAATTGTCGGGCTCTTCTGCATAGTTGACCAGCGTATTTCTGGATTTTCTGAGCCGTGGGGAGGTTGAACGATCTCTTCTTGGTCTGTAAGGCTCCTTGAAATTGTGTTCGACATTCTCCAAATGCTAAATAAATGACTCCACCACGAGATTTTAATCTCCAAACGTGAGGGAGGGAGTTGAACTCTGAAGACTACGAGCAATAGTTAACATTAACTTATTAAAAAAAAAAGTTCATGTACCACAAAATAGCAGTCAATCAGGGTGGGCTTGAATCAGCTGCAAGCACCGGAACTTGCGCTCTCGCCCGCCCAGGAGTTTGCATTCCGACGAGGAATGAACAAACCCCGACCACCTGCATTTTCATCCTGACGTTTCCTTACGTGGCAGCCTCTTTTTCCGCTAACATACTGACGGGGTTCAAGAGAACTGTAGGAACCAAGGTAGGGAAAGGCTGTTCCGCACACGCTCCGCGATCCGACAGGCACTCTTATTTTTCTTTCCTTACCGAAAGCCAAGACATCTGACGTCCCCGCCCGTACCTGCTGCCTCTTTCGCAAAAGTCACGCCCTGGGGGCGGAAAGCGCCCAATGGGAGACGGCGTTTTGAGAGGAGCGGGGAGGGCGCTGCGCGCAGGCGGGACTGCAGAGCGATTGGGGAGGGCGGGTAACGGCGGCGTTAGCCAGTCCGGCAGGGCGTCGTGTGAAGGGAGAGAGGAGAGGGTGACTTCAATGGACGGAGGGGATGTGGCGGCTCCTGACGCTGCTCCCCTTGCCCGCAGTTCCGGAGGCATCGACCCTGTCCTCGCGCCGGCTATAGCGTCGTCTCCCTG